GTTCAGTTGGTGATGGACTGTGGTGGACAGTTGGTGGACGAAGGCGTGGTGGTGAAGAGGGCCGAAATCCAACCAACCAACCACAGACCTTTGTCCGTCTGCGTTCACAGTGGTGTCACCATCCTTTGCGTTCCCTTGTTCTGTTCTTTTTTTTCTTTTTTTTCTTTTCTTCCCTATATCCTTGTCGTCGTCACCGAGGAACATTGGAATAGAGGGGAAATGGAAGGGATTGTACGCCCAGCTGGAAGTACTGAGGAGGGGGGGGCCGAGGGGCTTTTCTTGTGAGTTGTGAGCTTGTCATACATCACACACGACTGGATCGATCCAGACAAACAGGAATGAACCGGTTGGGTGTTGCCGGTTACTGTGCGATTTCGGTTTCACCAGCTCTTCCTAGACTTCCCGTCGGAGAATGCATGTGGATAGGATGGCCTCGAGGACGAGGACATGGATGACGGACCGCGCGGCGACGGGGCTTCGAGGAGTGTGTCCTCCGTCGGTTCAGAATGTTGTTGTTGTTGCTGGGCGGGTGTTATGTGTGTGAGGAGGAGAAGGAGCATGGGAGGAGCATGCCTCATGGCGCTTCCACAACGCTTCCCCTCCTCAGACCTCCCTCTCTCCCATATTTTCATACCACACTACAACCTAGACTAGTGTACAGTATCTTTCACCAACCTAACTAACTCATCTACCACCAACTGGCAACGACTGGTCTCCCGTCCGTCAATAGTTGCCCTCCCTGATCCGCCAGCCCTCCCGCCCACCCTACTTGCCGCCGTCGCCACCAGCACGCACCCGTACCACATAGTGACACTACTATCCGGCACACGTAAAAGGATCTGCTGCTCGTTGGGCCCATCATGTCACATCATTTACTATACTACTACCGTTCTATATAGCCGCCCGTGTCCCCCCTCGGCATCCCCCCTTCCCCTACGCACGTTTTTTTTTATTCTTCTCTGTTGTTTTTCGCTTTACCGGTTCTAGATTCCTCAAAGAGGGTCTCCAGCCTGCCAGTTGCTCAGTTGGTGGGCTTTGACAACTCTGTGGAACTTGGTTTGCCTCTCTCTCGAAGGAAGTACATACTTCCATTACAAACTGTTATAATCAACAAGGGTTGAGAGAAGCAAGCACGGGAACCGGAACAAACCGAGTGAGAAACCAACCCGACATTCTGGAAATGTCGACTCATCAATCCCAGCCCAGCAGCCCGCCCAAGAGGCCAAGGCTTTCCCTTCAGATCAAGACCTTTAATGGTTCGAGTGTCAGGACATCTAGGACGCTGGCCGCCGCCGTGGATGTCAAGTCTCCTACAGCCTTCAACACGCTGTCGAATGTCTACGCCACCGCTGTGGATAGGTCGACGCCAATCCAGGAGCATGCCCCGGCAACAGCGCTATCAGGGGGGAAGCCGATGCTGCGCCTCCAAACCCAGGAGGCTGGCCAAAATGGCGGAGCAGCAGTATCCAAGGACCGTCGTCTACAAACGCCTTATTTGGGCCCATATCTCGACACTCCTCTGACGGCGCAACCAATGTCACCTGCCATTGCAACAGCACAAAGCCAGATGATTTTCCCTAGTGCCATGACGGCGACACCACCACTATCCGCCCAGCCGCAAGAGCAGAACGGCCCTCGCGTGTTCACCTTTGATTCCAGCAACTCAAACAACAACAACAACAACAACAACAACAACTACAGCATGGAACAGCCGTCACTTAGCATCAATACTACCACCTCACAAGCATCAGAGATGGCTTCTTGCTCAGAAACGCCCAGGAGGCGAACCACCTTTCCATCCAACGTCAAGCTCCCCTACACCCACCCGCGTTCCCTCCGCAGCATCCTCCGCAACAGCCCCCTCGCACCTTTGACCTGCCAATCCCCCAACTCATCCAGACGGCAGTCGCTCCGGCTTCAGGAAAAGGCCGCTCGGCGGGTGGCCTACCACAGCCCGCTGTGCGAGACCATTACCACGAGCAAGTACACCAAGTCGCACGTGGACCTGCTGGCCGAAGACTCCGGGACGCCCACCACGCCCACGGGGGCTAGGTCCATCTCATCCTCGTCCTCATCATCATGCTCCTCCTCGTCAGAGGGCGAGGAGCTGCTAGACCAAACCATGGCCTACACCGGCGGCAACGAGACCCGCGACGGGGGCCAGACTCCGGGACCCTATGAGGAGATGCGCAGGCGCATGGCGGGCATGCACGCGTCGACGCCCATCTCGCTTTCGCCGACGAGCGGGGGGATACGCAAGAACCGTGGCTTGCAAGGAAAGAAAAGGGAGAAGAAGCGGAGGTGGGTGTGGACGATTGGGAAGGACGCCGAGGACGCGGAGCTGGAGGAGTGCGGGAGTCCGGTGGTGCCGTGGACGGTGAGGCCGGAGCTATCGAACGCGGTAGCTGTTGCTGAAAGAAAGGAGGCCATGGTGGGCGTGCCGGTGTTGGCGGTGCCTGTGCCGCCAAGCAGGGCGAGGACGAGGGCGCAGACGCAGGCGCAGGCGCAGTCGGTGCAGACTGTTGTTACTGGGAACAAGGCGGCGGCTGCGGCTGCGACTGTGGCATTGCAAATACCCAAATTGCCGGTGCCGGGGCCGACTAGTGGGAGGAGGCTAAGGCCTGCTTTGAGTTTGCCTCCTTCTTCCATGTCGACTTTGCCTGTTCCTGGGCCTGTTGTACCTGCAGTGTCTACGCCCGTGGCTGCTGCTGCTCCAGCACTGCCCTTGGTGCAACAGCAAACACAAACACAACAATCACCACCACCACCACCACCACCCCAGCAACATCAGCAACCCGAGCCCCATCAGCAGCAGTCGTCCCGCGCCACACTCACTCCCGAACCCACCCTCCCTCACATAGAACCCCACACCCCCAGCATGGAATCCGTCACCAGCATGACCAGCATCATGTCCCAAGCCGAGTCCATGCTGTCCGAGGACTCTGTCTTTGACACCTCGTCCGTGTACAACGGGGACGTGGAGATGTCGGATGCGAGCAGTGTTTGCTATGATGATGACCCTGCTGGTGATAACGAGTCTACGTTTGATGGTGGTGGTGCGGATGGGGAAGAACAACATGAGAACAATAACCACAACAACGTCTACAAGAACTACTTGAAAGTAAATGGTGGTAAGCGAGGAGCAAGTGTGGATCAGCCATGCCACTCATCGGATATGGATACGGATATGGATATGGATACGCCTACGGTTGGGGGAAGGCCGGGGTATGCGGTGGAGAGGTTGGGGTTGGGGATTTGTTAGTTACCTATGTAGCGTGGTTAGATGGATGGGAAAGAGCATAAGATGGATACTGGGTTATGGGAGGTTTAGCTACTGTTTACTTGGTTGTTATCATGTTTTGGGTTTTAGGTGTAAAAGGGGTCTGGAAAGGGAATGGTTTTGATATGGTTATGGGTATGGTTAGGTATGGATATGAACATGAACATGAACGTGATGATGGATGGATGGATGGATGGAAACGAACTCCTTTTGGGAATATGAAGGCGTAAATCAAACAAAGGATTTTCGCATACATTCGTTGTACACACAACACCTCCGTGTCTTTATCCATCATGCCGTGATTCCTTCTTTGCTTTCATCTTTCTCCTGGCAGAGGACGCAGGTTTGGCTGACAGGTTATCCACTGTGTACGCCATTGGTCTCTAATCCATCGGTATCTCCACGTTGCATTGGATGTTTACACGTGTGAAGTGGACTGTCTACCTTACCATGTAATTTGGATACATTACATTATAGTTCAGGCTCAGTGGTGATGGTTACCAGCTTCTCGAAGCGCACGGTAAAACCTTGTTGTCTGACATGGTGGAAGACAACATGGGGGAATATGGGGGAGTAAGCAAAGACGTAGTTTTAAACATGCAGTCTAGGACAGGCCAATCACAACCTCAACACCAGCACACACACCAATAAACAAGCCGTGGATGTTGTTTTAGTCTTTCCCTGTCGTCCTTTCTTTTGTTTCGAAGCACGCCATCCAATTTTGTTGTATCCACAAATAACTTTCTCGGTACCTCCTCTAACCACTGCAGCTTGCCAACGTCATCCCGCAAAGGTCCAGACCAACAACTTGAGACAACACAAGGCCGAGAACGAAAGAGGAGGTGGGACTAGTGTAGACGGCAGGGAGCGAGACGGAGTGAACCGATGTTGTGCAGTCAGCAGTGAGTGGTCGTGGGTGGGTGGGTGCTAATTGCATTTGTTCCAAGCCCGCTGTAGCTTGGCACTTGAATGACATTACGCACACAATTGACGGGAAGTAGCTGTGGTAATGACGTCATACCTACCCAGCTCTACTTGTACATCTTCCCAAGCACAACATGACAACCTCTTCCATCTGACCGCACGCAAACAACCACACAATGAATTTTGAATTGTTCACCAATTGAACGGTCATGTACACATGGCAGCAATCCTGATGGATTCCTTAGTTGGGTGGTGATTGGGTTTCATACCAAGACTCTCAAGTCTTTGGTCAAGATGAGGAATCTCAAACAGAGATGATGACAGTCAAGCGATCTGGCATCTGGATTTGTCTTTGATGACGGCGATCGGATCGACTTCATAGGTATCGATGTCCCTCTTTTTGCTTTTTCCCGTTGGACCGGGGCTTGGCTGGGGCAGTGTCGTGTACACTATGTCTACAGTTTCCTCAGAGAGCTATCAGAGGAGGGGGGAATTCTCAACTTGATACTGTACAACCCTCTTTGTAGTAGAGGTACACTACTGCATCTGTCCAAGTGGATTGACGGGAAGCTCCTCTCAGCTCTCACACATCCACCCATGAATGAGATCTTGCCATTCCGTTGGTTCATCCCATGTCTCTGATTCCTGCTCGCTTTTCCACAACCTCCACTTAATAGGGCAGAGAACTACTGCAGCTACCATGGCCCTGATGCGCCCCCTACGTAACACCCCTACCACTTGTGGGGAGCTACAGGATGATGAGCTAGTAGGTATAAACTGGATTCACACTTTCCCATCCATCTTCATCTTGATGAACGTTTCCAGTACCACAAGTACCGGGCAGTCCCATCCACGTCTTTTTTTTCCTTTCCATCTTCGATACTCCGCTGCATTCCTACTCCATCTACATCACCACAACCTTGTCTCTATTCCCTCTTAAGATCTGGAGGGGGTTATATCAACTACTCCCCTCGAGTTAATACAGAACAACAACATCTTCTATATGTGATACCACCAATTAAAGGAGATTGACCCATTTTGAGCTTGTTAGAAGGACAGCAGCAAGACATGGACGTCCCGGAATCGCGGCATTACCCCGGGGGTCAACCCTACTCGGGCACCAACCGCATCCCCAACATTAAGCAATTTGTCGAAAGTCTCGATAGGGACAAGAAGGAACGCGATGGTAAACTCGAGGCCGATCTGCGCCGGAATCACCAAAACGGAGAGCTTCAGGCCCATGTCCCAACCCAAAAACCCGGCAAGAACCGCCGTACTGTCAAGGACCCAATAACCGGAAAGGATGTCGAGATTGAGGATATCGGTAGCACGCACATGAAGACGGCCAAGGATCCACAGGTGTGTCAGTCTATATTCAACTTACCTGACGTATAATAAGCAGCCCAAACTAACTGACGTCCCCTTATTACAGTTGACCGTCCCCAACGCAAACCTCGGAAAGGAAACCCCCGTTCAAACCAAAGCTTCCCAGTCCGGCGAGGAATACCGCGAAGCCCAAGATGTTACCGCGCCTCCTGATCCCATCGCCAATGGCTCCACCAGCGACGTGCCCATCCACGGCGAAAAGACCAACGTGCTCTT